GGATGGACGGACGGACGGACGGACGCACACAGGGCAAAACATAAGTCCCCGTTTTCGGACTGCGTCCGAACGGGGACTAAAAATGATCAAAAGCTATAGCCAATCAGAAAAATATATCCATTTGGTACAAAATTAACAAAGAAATTATAGAAAAGTACGTTGAATTGAAGTATTCGCACCAAATTTGGGCATTAAAACGGTAAATCTTACCTTGTGACCATTACTGTTTGGTTTTCCAGATAAATAACACGAGAACACATGCCAAACATCTTCCTCAGATGAAAGTTCCTCACCCCACATTCTTAACAAGTCATTTTTCTGGGTTTTAGGTTTCAGACAGAACTGATAATAATCCCGTAATTCTCCAAAAGCGGGAGATGCAGAGTCTCCCCATCGACCGTTTGGAAATTCATCCCAATCTTGGGTCCTATAAACATAACTCTTTGGTCGTATTGACCAAAAGATCGGTCTAACGTCCTCACTTTTACGTAAATGATTTGCAGTAGTTTTCCATGGCAATGTCCTGCTAGGCTCCTCACACCAAAGTCCAAGACTTTTCAGAATTTCAATACTGGCAACCTCACGGTTTAATGTATAGATATGAATTCCATACACTTCCCCACTGAAAATCATTATGAAAAGAATAGTGCAATTCATCAGAAGCAAACAATTTTATTGCATTTGATACACAGGAAAACTTTCCATTTTGGATACAATTACGATAAAAATTGATGAGCACATGAAAAGTTACATACTGTGGAATACTTTATTTTCGCTGGAATTAATTTTCGCTGAAAAGGCTTTTAGGGCGTTTTGTATGGAATTTATTTTCACTGATTTTTGATTAGTTTAATGTGAAACATAGGAAAAAAAAGTATATTCGCTGGATTTTATTTTCACTGAATCATCCCTTCAAGCGAAAATAGCGAAAATAAATTCCAAGCGAAAATAAAGTATTCTACAGTATTGTCATTGAATGCTTTTTACAGAATTGTACTCGCATTTGAAAAAAGATACCATATAAACAAATGGATCAATGTACGAATGCACACAATAAACTGAGCTCTCATTCAGGGATACACTACAATTACAGCTATAATATTGCTTAAGATAAAATGCCGTTACCTTTTATAGAGTTCTTGACATATCTTGATAGCATTATGAACTCCAAACTTTCTAATGGCAGCATCGTCATCTTTAATGGGGTCAATTACATCAGTAATATGTTTGGGTACTGTCAATTTGGACAGTTTAACAAGTTGTCGAAGTGAATGATATCCCTATAGAAAGTATAGAGGTTTGTTAAGTTCAAAAGAACTGAATGATATAGTGTGTGTGTGTGTGTGTGTGTGCGTGTGTGGTACCAACGTTGTGACGACTTCAATTTAACTTTACACCGACTTGCGACGACAGGACCTACATTATGATGACCCTCGCTATTTTCATAATTTATATTAATATTTAATTGAATTTTAGTCAAGTTTGCCTAGTTTTGGTTTAGTGAAGGGGGAAGGTATGGTTTAATTTATACTAATATTAACATAATTGTACCATACCTACCCACTTTACTAAACCTAAGCTTCGCAAACATTTCTATGTTATTCAACCTCTATTCCATGTTGAATAGCATTGAATTGAGTTTAATTAAAGGGCGGTGGTCGTCGCGCCGCGTTCTGTTCGATATGGGACTCATAGCATACATTGTTTATTTAGATGAAATTCGAACAT